ACAACTAATCTGTAAATACGTCACAACTAATCTGTAAATACGTCACAACTAATCTGTAAATACGTCGGACCATTAATGTTTATTAATGGAACCATCATGGTCCATCCTGTGCAGAATGACAAAATGCTAAATTATTTCTTTACTAAAACCTCTGTAACTTTGCTCCAGTTAGTTTTAGCAGCATGAATCTTTGCACAGGTGATGTTCACAAGTGATTTTATGGTTTCCAAGAGTTTTTAGTCTGATTCATTATGGTTTTAAATAGGTTATATATTGTTTAATGCAAAAATTACTCAGACTGGAGGGGAAAAAATGTTCCATCCTCAATATCTTTAAAACCTGAGCAGCTGTTTTAATACTCACACTTCTAAAAAAATCTCCCAAGTGTTGCTTTATTTTGATACCAAGATTATAGTTTGTAAATGCTGAGATACACTCAGTTACATTTCAGCATGGGATTTAAAACAAAAACATCAAGAAAACCCCTTGGGTCTTCAGAGGCTGAGTTTAACACAGAATGAGCCTAATGTTTGTTAAAAAGATCATTTTCAGCCTGAATAAAATGAAAAACGATTATTTCCAACACTCCAAACAAAGACGAGCGTTGTTCATTCAGGGTAAATCTGAGGGTCTTTGCTTCTTCTGCTGGTGATCTGAGTGCAGCAAGGTTCAGGTAAAATCAGTTAATCTAAAGTTCAAATTTAACTTGGGGGAAATGTTGCTTTAGAAGAAAGGCCTCTGAAAGTGTTGGTGGAGCTGACAGCAGGAATGCTGCTCTGATATCTTATCGTTGCCTTTTTTTTTCAGTTTTATTCATCTTTCTTTCTTTCTTCAGAGGAGATCAAAGAGGCGGAGCCAGCAGAGCAGCAGATCCCGTCAGCCTGCGGCGCAGCAGAGTCCTGTCGCTGTCAGAGAGTCAGCTGAAAGGTGAGGAGCGTGACGACAAACTGAACTCGACACATCTGCAGGTCGACGTGTCCGAGCCTTCTTCAACAAGTCGCTCTGGGTTTAGATGCTGCTCGAGAGGCTCGTTGTATCTTTTCCCCTGAATAAAGCTGAGTTTAGGAAGCTTGAAAGTGACGACAAATGAGCTCTGTCTTTGTGTTTGAACACAGTGATGTTTTCTGAAGTTTGTTCTCACTGAGTGTTTATGGCTTCATCAATCCTTTTCTATACATTTTATAATCCTTTTTATTGCAAACCTCGTAACTCATGTCAGTTCCTTCATCTCCACAGGATCTCTGTAGGAGTCTGGTCGGTGTTTCCCACAATCCTTCGTATTTTCCCTGCAGCTCTGTGAAGTGTAAATCACCCGCTGCGTGGGATTTAGTTACAAATTAAATCTCAGATTTAGATCTTGTCCTCGGGGCTTTTGTTGGTCAGCAGCTGCAGATCCGCTGACTCTGGAGTGAGAGCTCAGGATATTTTTATACCTAAACATGTGTGATGGTGTCTGACATGGAACACAAACATCTTTTAAATAAACGATGTTTGAAGTACGACACCTTTCTGAGCATGCACATCGTAGAGTGCACGCTGTGCCTCATGTTTGTATATTTTTACTTTTCCACAGTTTTTTTTAGCAGCTTATTAATCTGCAGAGTTGTGTCAAGTACCACAAAGTGATACTTGAGTAAAAGTACCTCCAGTAAGTATCTTACCAAGAAATGACTTTGGTAAAAGTTAAAGTCTCATTTAGGAATATTACTTGAGTAAAATTCTTAAATTTTCTGATATTTTTTTAGCTTAAGGGGCAGATTTTATAAGATTTTTTTCTTCTTTCTGCCTCCTTTCATTTCAATTTGGATTTGTATATTTTT